TAAGCGCACTATTTAAGGCACGCACTTGCAGCAAATTGTCAGCGGAGTGCGCCTAATTGCATATACCTATTTATTTACACAAATCCATACACACGTTCAACTACATGTGCATTGCATTTGTGTACACACGTATGTATGCAGGTAGATGAATATAAAATTAATGATTGCATACACACAGGCGCAGCGCATAAATCTCGTATTAGCCGCCGCATGGCATGTAAAATTTTACGATCGCTTCGCTGCGTTAATAATTTTAGGTTTTCATATTGACAGGCGCTCGAAGCTGGTAATTTTACAAACACGTGTGTGTGTGTGTGTGTGTGTGTGTGTGTGTGGGTGTGTATTTGCATTTAAGCGTGTTTGTGTAGTTAATTTCGTTGAAAAGCTAGAAGCGTTTCGTGGTAACACGCGCAACAAACTACACTTAACTACTCTCTCTACCGCATTCACACTCGCCATAGGCAGGTGCACGCGCCACAATCGTTATATATATATATATATATGTATAAATGTATATATGTTTGCTTTGAAGACAGCGCCTTTTGATATGCTATGCTTAGCAAAAATAACCCATGCATACATACATATTTATGAGTGTATGTATATGTGTTTGCTTAATTTTGGTTAAGGTCAAATGTGGCATGCATGTCTGCCACAAATTGTAGCTTTGCATTTCGACAGCATTTTGCTTTTATGTAACAAATTTGCTTTGATTGTTCGATTTATTGAATTATAGCATAATTTTAGGCTTTGATTGGTGTACACACGCGATTTGTGTGATATTTCACCTGGCTTTTGTGTTGCCGAAAGCAGTTATTTGCAGTGCATACGATAGCTGAGGAGGTGATGCTCACATACAAACATACATACACACGTACACATATTTGCACATACAAGCACATACATACATATTAGAGGTATACGCCGCCGAGCCACGCCGCCGCCGCCGCCGTTTTTTGTCATTTCTCATGCGCCGCCGCCGAGTTACGTAAATATCGGCGCGGCGGCGGCGGCGGCGGCGTTCGGCGCCTAAGGAATTTTGTACAAAATTTTCATGATGTATGCACATTAAAATACATCGTTTGAAGGAACTAAATACTACTCGTATAAAGACACTATTTTACGAAAAGAGGATTAAATTTTTAAAGGAGTTATTTCGCATAATTTGGGCCACTGAACATTTCCAAAAAAGCGTAACTCAGAAAAAACATAGGTAACACGTTATATTTTTCTATTTGGCACATTTTGGCACTTTTTTATCCTCAATATGGCACTTCATAGCTAAGTATAGTTGGAAGCCCTGTTCCCAAGTGGTGGTCAAATCCCAGGAGGCGTTTGCTCCCGCGCATCGCAATGTCTTCTACACAGGGTTAAAGTCCCCATTTTTCGTAAAAATTACTATTATTTTTCATTACATTCAGTTCTCCTTACAAAAATTTGGCGCTTAATATTTTAGTGGATATTTTAGCTACCTATAAGTGGCCAGAAAGGCCCGTTCTGGTGGAAGTTGACCAAACCTTGTTTTCAATATACATATGACCCGCAAAGAATCGTAACAACTCCGTAATTTAACATAACGGATGATAAGATTATTGCAAAAAAATTTTGATAGCGACATAAATTACCCCAATAACTTAACATTTTAAATTTTTTTATTTCTTTAAATTTCAGTAGTATACATATACGGATTTGTAGAGAACATAGAGATGTATTTATTTATATACGTCGGACTTTCTTCTGTTTGCCCATCCATCAGCAGCAGACACTCAACATTTTAATTCAAGTAGAAAGTAACGTAATTTTAATTTAAAACTAATTCAATGAATTAATTAAATACAATTACAATCTGAATTGGCATGGCCAATGCCTAACGCTGACGAGATGACATGATAAGATTAGTAGCTTTATGTCTCTTTTGAATCTACCTAATGGGCAGTAGCGCCGGCGTTTTCAGACGCGCCGGCGTCGCCGCCGCCGCTGATTCTTTTTCAAGTTGACCACGCCGCCGCCGCAAAGCCTGTCGGCGTAAACCTCTAATACATATGTATGCATGTATAATTATTGCATTTAAAGTTTCGAAACGCCGAGAACAATTCAAATGGATTTAACTGAAAACAACAGAAAAAATTTGATAATATTTTTTTGGAGCGAAAAATAAAACTCATTAATAACACTATACGGCAAAATCAATTTTATTTCTGGGTATTGGATCAAACCAATTTTTTTTTAGAGAGACTGAGTCATAAGTATAAAAATTTATTTCTCCGTCTTTCGAAGTTAGCCTCCGAAAACGGGGTATTAGCCTTCGACGTTCGAAATAGGCACTTTGATAATAAAAATATTTTTTAGTATTGTATGTAAATAACTAACAAGGAAAAAATATAGACGTAGTCCACCTTTTGCTCTTATTTAAACGGTACGAACATTGTTTTGTGCAAACTTATATTACCGGTCCCTGATAGCACTCCAAAATTAGTTCAAAATTTTTTGAAATATAAGGTTTTTAATTTTTCCAAGATCGGACCTTTGGCCCCTTAATAATTTGATTTTCGTTGAAAAAAAGAAATCGATTGGCATGTATCACTTAGTTATATAACATTTCCTTCATGGTGAATTTTTCAGTGAAAATTTTCATCACTAACCTAACTGTTATGTCCGGTCCCTGAGAGAAATTAATATACAAAAGTATAGTTAAATGAACTAAGATACAACATTACGGATACGGAATAAAATGTGTGTAAGCACAATTTGAAATATATTTCCAAAAGTCTAGAAATTAAAATGCATTTGTAAAAAATATATGAAATGATGTTAATCATAAGATAAATATTTACAAGTTCCTTAGTCCAGAGAAAGTAAAGTATTTGAGCTTCACATTGAACGCAGTTTAAGAAAATAAATAAAAACCAAAATTAAATATTTAATCACCGGTTAACTTACCGTTGTTATTGAATTCGTTGCGTCCGCTACGTGCAAGTGCTAATTTCCTTTTACTTTCCTCATTTATTGCCGTTTTTGCTACACTCTTATTTTTCACAGCTCACGATTGCTTAATTTCTCGATAAACCTTTTTGTGCGAAATTTTATTGCTGCCACCTCCGCCATCAACTTCACATTAAATTCAACACTTTTTCACATTTGCGCGCTTCTCGCAACGCAAGCGGACACACTGGAATGAGATGTCAACGTTACGAACGGCCATAATAAATCAGAAATTACGAAAGATAGATAGACAATGCACGAAGAACAAGAGGCAATGTCTTTAAATTAAATGGTAGTACTGCGAAGAACGGCAACCGCTTACAGCGAGAGCGGAGTATGGAAAGTGGTAAGTAAAAAAAAAGTAGGAAAGCAGAAAAAATATAGCAAGAAATGAAATTAAAAAAAGTGCTAAAAAAAAAACAGCGAGCCGGTTACTAAAAATGCTAAAACGGTTTACAAAAAGATGGAAAGCGTAGGAAGTATCACTAAAATGAATTACAAACGCAGAAAAAGGACCAATAAAGCGATTGGTGGAGTGATAAGCGCGCTGGCAAGAAAATTGCAATAAAATGGAAATAAAAAATGCTAATTTTAAAAATAATCAAAATAGTTAAAAGGGTTGCGTTAGACAAAGAAAAGAGATTAAAATACAACAAAAGACAAAAGCAAATAACAAAAAGCACTAGCTATTTGCACAAAAGAAAAGTATCGCAGCATGCAGCGAGGATGCTGACGTGGGTGGGTTAAGTAAGTGGCAATTGGTAGGTGTTAAAAGTGTTGATCATTTCTATGCTCCTTACCTGAAATTAAACGCCGAAAGGTTTAATTATCCAAAACAAAGCTGTAGTTAGAACGGAAATAAAAATAAGCAGGCAGCGAAATGAGAGACCGTGAATAGTTGTAGGCGAATCGGTCGAAAAATCCGAGTTTGGTTAAGAATTTAAATTACACTCTTGGTATTGTGATTCTACTTCCGGAACAATTTCGTGCTAATTGACATTTTTTTTTTTTTTTATATGAAGTTGGCCATTTCTAATAGGTTTTGTCGCTGACCTCATATCTGAAAAATATGCACAGCATTTTAAAATACATCTCTTGTCCTTTCGAATTCTTTGGTTTGTGCGTTCAACGTCGGTACAAGTCGTTTTAAATTTCACTATAAACCAAAAAACTAACATTCTTTTAAAAATATTTTTTAACAGCGTTGCCATCTACCTACAATTTTTGAACAAACTAAATTTATAACTTGCTTAAAATATCAAAAAGTGCTCATCAAACTTAAGGTATTTAAACGTTTGTAAAAGGTTGCCAATAGTTTAAATAACAAAAATTATGTGAATACATACATATGTATGTATATAGAGTGAAGAACAAAACGAAGATGATCGATGATGAAAAAAAAAATATAGTTCATTCTACAACAAAAAACATAAAATTTCTAAATTTTGTGCAAAACTCAGGAAAATTCAAAAAATTTGCCTACCAATTTGCAACTATCTAACCAGATTTTGTAGAAAAATTTTTGGTATGCAGTCTCATAGTGGCAAGTGCAAGTCCTTTTTAAAAGTCTGTCAAACCCAAGAATTTCCAAAAGTGATTGCATGTAAAGTAACTTACGAAAGCGAACTTTCAGTAGATAAATTTTAATTTAACTACTTATTATTATCAGTTAACTGCCTACTGCAAAAGAATACCTTATCAAGCACACATATTTTTCATATTTTAATAATTACAATTTTTAATGTCCAACAATTGAAAAAGAAAATCATAACAAAAATTTACTTGGCATAAATTCAACATTCGCATTTACTTAATATGTCTATTAAATTAAGCATATATGTAATTGTAGCATTAATACATTTCCAAAAAAAAAAAAAATTGCATTTGTCTCAAGATTTTACACTAAAGAGCGAAATACACCACACAAGCGGTTTGACAAACCAAGCGAAATTTCCCTTTGCTTCAAGCCATTTGTGCTGTGTATGGGGGTGTTTGAAGGTTTGACAAACCGCCACGTAAACACAGAAAACTGGAATAACAAAAGTGAAACAAGCAAATCATAACTATTTTAATTAGTTACATCTATACAAGGACTTGTGTAAATATACGAAAAATATTTTCCCAAATGACAAAAAAAGCTTAAGTCATAATTAGAGAATATAAACTTTTTTCTTTACATAATTATAATAACACGTAAACATCTATGAATTTGAATGGCAAAAAAATCTTCAGCAGCAAAAGATTTATATCGCTTCCCAGAGAATATAGCAATTTATGTATTTAAATATTTGTGGTTGCATATCTCCCTCCCTACGATTGAACTTGCAATGGGCCTATTCACTCTACAAGCTCGGTACACTACACTGCTGGCAACTCTCCATTTGTGGTGTGAATTCCTCAATTTGTATGGTTGTCTCGAAGAAATTATAACGTCGATGTACGGCAGTGCTGGCTTCTTCCAATATGCGCTTAGCGTTTGCATCGGGGGCTGGCGAGAAGAGGAAGGGACGATTGGTTAGTTAAAATTTCTTGGCTTTATTTTTATAAGAAATGTTAATGGAAATATTATCGTAGTAGTGATGATAAGTGATGTGAATGTTGCCACAAGGTGTTTATGCAGTTGACATTGAGATATTATTATCATCATTATATAAATAGGCAATCATGTTTCCTTTACACCCCTTTTACGGCTAAACTATAATTCTAAGGTATAGACAATTATATATCATTAGAAAGGTATTTTGATGCTGATGTGCAGGCAATTTTTAAAATTTCAAATTAGTTTAAAATGGAGCGATAAAATCAATTCAAAAGTCACACCAATACCAATGCCATACATGTACATGGTTGGGGCGGAAATGCCCCCTAAATGTATGCTTTAATATTGATAGCGAATTAAAGAAACGTGCTAAGCAGCACATAACATAACCATAACATAAGAATAAATAACATAACATATGAAGCATAACACACCACAATATAACATCGCACACTCTTCAGTTGTATTTCCTTTTTATCCCTTTTTTCACCTCTATCTAAATCTTATTTATTTTGGTTCATTTTATGCCAAATGATGTTGCCTTTGATGCCACATCAAGTGATATCATGTCATGTGGTGAGCTGCGGTGTGGTGGAATTGGGTGTAGGAGTTACGGTGTGGTGAATTTAGGTGTGGTGGATTCAGGTGTGGTGAGTTAAGTTATGGTGAGAAAGTTGAGGTGTGGTGAATTAAGGTGTGGTGAATTTTGGTGTGGTGAGTTGAGGTGAGTTAAGGTGTGGTGAGAAAGTTGAGGTGTGGTGAATTAAGGGTGGTGGATTTAGGTGTGGTGGATTTAGGTGTGGGGGTTAAGGTGTGGCGAGTTGAGATGTGGTGAATTTAGGTGTGGGGAGTTAAAGTGTGGTGAATTAATGTGTGGTGAGCTCAGGTGGAGTAAGTTTTTAAGTTAAGATGAGTTAAAGTTAAGGGGTTATGATCTTTATCCTTATCTTCATCTTCATCTTCATCTTCATCTTCATCTTCATCTTCATCTTCATCTTCATCTTCATCTTCATCTTCATCTTCATCTTCATCTTCATCTTCATCTTCATCTTCATATCTTCGTTTGTATTTAGGTTTCTTTACTTTTATTCTAATCTTTGCCTTTATCCCTTTCTTCTTCTACATATTC